CGAGTGAGTCTTTAGGATGATAAAAATAAAGAAGCCTGTAAATGACTTGACATTCATTGAAATACTGCAGAGATCTTTTTATCGAAGTTTCTGTGGTTGGCTTGGGATCATGTTTATTTTCAAGATACATCCTATCAAACAAACTGCATCGTATCAAAAACTCGACTTGACCATCAATATAGCCAAGCCAATGGGCAATATGAGGTGGGTAGCCAACCTGTATATCATAAAACTTTTGTATAGTTTCTAGTTTTCTATCAACTTTGGCTTTATCAACGATACTGTCTTTCGCCTGGTACTTTTTTGAAACCAGAGAGTCCGCAAATTTACGGGCTGTCTTTTGATACGTGTTCTCGTAGACATCATCGAACATTGACATTGGAATGCATGTGACTTTAACTAGAAACAGCAAGTTACTTAGAACATTGGTCTGGATGATCTTAAGCCACATTAATAGGGGTAATCTGGAATGGCATATATAAAAGGAGAAGTTATGCTTGACCAGACTGTAATACAGCATAGCTCTCTAAACCAATGCCTGAAAGCTTGCAAGCCCATATCTAACATAGACGCTACTTGGCGCTGACAGAATATTCAACAGTACTGTCTATTTAAACTTATATTAGTGTAGCAAATCAATGCTGATACCTGTTATGCTACATTCCATTATATTAATAAAGTATATTTAATTAGTAGAATAGCTGTTTAGGGCACTGCTGCATAAATGATGACCACTGGTATTTTAGCTGGTGTCCCAATAGGTGTGGCTTGACGGTGCAAAATGGATGGCATAGATATTGGAAAGATACTTTGTATTTATTTTTCATTGCTTTCAGATACGCTGTTGTCCTCTATTCCGTACTCTTTCTTTTGCTGTTCTGCGGCTTGTCTAAACAGCTCCATTTGCATCTTCTGCAGTTCTTCCATCGATTTTCCACTGTCCTTAAACTTGTTCTGCCGCGAAGGCTTGTGTCTGGAATACTCGTCATAGTTCTTTGCTGCAACATCACACTCTTCAACAAAATCGCCAAATCCGCATTTCTCCATCGACTTAAACACGTGGCTGGTGCCGATTGTCTTTTTGTTTTCCAATTCGCAAAGCCTGTTTGCCTCCAATGCAATATGGCTCAAAAACAAACGAGCTGAAGCCTTCAATAACTCCCTAACATCCTTAGACACTCCATAGTCCTTGGGGGTTACATCGTGTATTAAGCTGTCCACAGTGGCCCTTGGAAGCTCAGAATCATCATCTGACTTTTCAGGGGGCATAATCCCAGTCAATTATTTCTGTATTTATAGTTTTGGCAGTCCTGTAAACAAAATTTTCAGGCCGGCAAGAACTAGAAAACCAAATATACTGGCATTACAAGGCCAACGTGTTTTATAAGCATGCCTAATAGTGATATAAACAAAGAACTCGCTGGATAGCCATTTTTGGCAATCTAAAATATGCAAAAGAATCGCGGGCATCTATTCAGTTTCCTCAGACAAGATGCCCAAATGCAAAGTTTGCACGACAAAGTCTCAAAAGAGCTCCTGGAGTCGCTAGAAAAGTTTTTAGACGATAAAATAGAGCTAGACGATCTTCTGATTGCACAGGAAAGAGAAGATCTGGCTTGCCGATATGAAAGCTGGGATATGATGAAAAAAGAACTGAAGGAGAGTATCTTCCAGCTGGCAGAGAGGCTCTTTAGAGCGGTCAATGAGTGTGAAAGGGAAATAAAGACCCTTGAAAAGCTCAATGAGTCGAAAAGTATCGAGTGTGATTTAGAGGAAGTATCATCGCATGCCCAGCTGCTAAGCAGGAACAGGGCGCCGCCCGTCGGGTTTGAACATTCAAACTGGTACCTAGGACCATACCCCGCAGCTCATATGATCGAGATGCTCAGAGAAGGGGCCGAAGAAAAGAAACAAGACTCCTGAATCATGGCACTTAAGCACATAATTCTTAAGGCCATTTCTGAAGATGCGATGATATCTGTAAACAGCAGATACTTAGATGCTCTTCCATAGCGAACCTTTAACAGAAAAGTTAAAATATGAAACACCGTACAACAGAAGATAGGCATGTATAAAAGAGTCTAACTTTTCCTTAGAACACAATTCATATTTAATTAAAGACACGTTTTCTTTATAGTGAACTTCTGCCTGTCTTATTTTCGCACACCACTGCTAATAACCAAGTCTCCATCCACCGTTTTTATTTCCAACTCCATTTCATTTGCCAGGTGAAGAAGAGAGATAAGACAAAAGTGAGGAGAGATGTCTTTTGACTCTTTACTTGTGTAGGTGTCTGGAACCCGGCTGACGATTTGACTGAACCTGGTGCAGCTCCGCATCAACAAGGAAGAAACGCTATCCTTCAGTCTTTTAATATCAACTCTTTTTGGAGCTCTCGAATATTTCAGTTGAATTTGCTTATCAGGCATGCCATTTATGGCCTTATCGTTCAGAATTAAAGAATTTTCAAAGTGCTCGGTGAAGTTATCATTCGTATCAAGGTCTGCGGCTGCATGAACATCCCCTCCTGGACCACTGTCCAGATCTTGTCCAATATTAATACTGCCATCCAGGCTCTCATAATCTTCACGAATGCAGTTGCTTGCATTACGAACCGTGCTTACAGAGAAGTACCCATCCACCTTGAAAAATTTGTACAGGTCCTTGACTTCATACGAATAATCTTCAGGTAAAAAATTCTTGCACCTTCTCCTCTCTAAAATAGCCTGCTTGCTCAGGACAGTGTCTGACTTGTTTTCAAGCAAACTTTGGTCTATCTTTGCCGTGAAATCTAGGAAATGTCTCTGTTTTGGCTTTTTTTCCCCGTCTCCCTTGCTTTTGCTTCCTATCTGCACCTTCCAATGGGTAGGTCCTGCCCAACCTCTGAAATATCCAAATGGGGACTCATGAAAAGCACCCACTTTCATTTCATCAACTAAATTAATTTTGTTTGTGCTGTTGTTCTCGTTTTCCTTTGAGTCCTCCTCATTTGAATCGTAATTCTGCCCATTGCTTTGCTCGCAAACTGTAAAGTCGTTCATGTCAAACTCAGGTGCTTGATACTGGTCGCTTGAAGCATTACCAATAGCCATCTCAAAATCCTTTAAACTATCACAGACAGGCAGTTGCTCTATTTCAATGTCAATTCTCTCGTCCTCCATCACAATATCCCTGGTGTTGCTGCTAAACAGAATCATTCCTGAGCTTGTGGGCTCCAACACATCCATTAAAAAGTAATCGTCGGTCTTTAGTAAAATGGAAGAGAATAAGGGATCATAAAAATCCAGAGCCTCCTTCTCCTTTAGGTTAATATTTGATAGATTCTTCTCAATAAAATTTGACTTCTTTCTTGCCCCAGTCTTCTTCTTTGTTTCCTCATCTTTACTGAATATTTCCAGTAGCTTCAGTGTGTTTTCGGACACATCGTCCACTCGGGTTGAGTACACCTTCATGCATCCCTCGAGAGTACTGGACGCTCTTTGAAAGTTGATGCCGTCTCGTGCTGTAAACTTGTTTGCATTTACAAAGTGTTCTATGAGTGTTGACTGCCACGCATTCCTTGATGTTATTTTGTTTTCGGCCGAGGCCTTTAGCCATGAGTTTAGATCATCCTGTGCCATGATGGGTGTGGGTATAAATAGCTATATGCAGACAGGCAATGGCAACAAGTTTTAAATAGAGTCCTGCTCAATATGTTTTCACATATAACAGATCTATAGTAGACCTTAAGTTTACCACTTAAAGTTACACTTAAAAGCCAACTACTGCATAAATAAATGGAAAGAGATGTCCTCAATGCCATTCTAGGCTCGTATTCGAAAATATTAAACGAAATATCGGAAATTAAGAAGATGATTGCTGCAGGCCGAAATGACAGTGAAGGCAAGAGGAATATGATGCTGGAGTCATTCATTCTAAATTCGCAATTTAGCAAAGAAAATACACAGAAGCATATCAAAGAGCGTATTAGTGACCGCAATGAACCTAAAGGCAATAGTGTTAAGCAGGATAAGATAAACGAGCGTACCGAAGACTACCATAATATCAGCAAAAGACGGGTAAGTAGCATAACAGGCAGCAATAGCCAGAGCCAGACAGGCAATCTAAGCATGACACACGACCGAATACCAACAAAATGCAGCACGCAATCCAATTATAAGAATTATAAGAGCTTTGATCCCGATAGAGGCTTTGAAATTGAAAAGTGTCTTTCGCAAAGAGCTGATAACAAAGTGGATCTGCAGGACTATCCATCGCAAGGCAGGGGAAAGTTCAGGAAGAGATCAAAAATTCAAGAAAGCTATAACTGCAATAGAAACGAAAAGAATGGCTGGGAATTTTTCAATAATCTTGAAAAGGAAATTGAAGAAGCACTATGAGCAAACCAAGTGTCTTGCATAATATGCACTTGCAATGTGGATCTATTTATAGCGCTGTGCATTCTTTAAATAAACCACCTGCCAACCAATGCTTCTTGCATGGCTGTACTTGTAAAACAGCTTTTAATATTGTAAAGTGCCTTTGAACATTTTCAAAATATTATTTATTTGTCATCCCTAAACATGAGCGAGAAAGACTACAAAAAGCTTGTTGGGAATAAGTCAAAGCTTTCTGAAAACTCATTCTGTGTAGACTGTGGGACAAAAAGTCCAAAGTGGGCGTCTGTGCGATACGGAACATTCTTCTGTCTGGACTGTGCGGCTGTCCACAGGTCTCTTGGTGTGTACTTGGACTTTGTGAAGAGCGTAAATCTTGATGGATGGGACAAGGAGTCCTATTTACCAATGGAATATGGTGGGAACAAGAGGTTTGTAGATTATGTAGAAATGAAGGGACTGAAAGACCTCGACATTGAGAGCAAGTACAAGAGCAGCGAGATTATTGAGTATTCCAAGGAGCTGATGAAAATGATACACAAAGAGACAGGACTTGATCTTAGATCATCTGAAAGAAAGGCGCCACAGACCAGCGGAAGGGTAGCTAGGACACAGCCGCATGTTGAAGATAAAACTGAAGTGCTAAAGCCATCAATCTACTCTGGATCTGTGGTTACTTCAAGTCTATCCAACCTGGGATCTGCGATTGGCTCACAGGTAAAAAACATTAAAGAAAAGACAGTGGAGTATGGAAGTAGAATAGGAAGCACCGTTAAAGAAAAAGCAAAATTGCTACTCGAGAAAGGATCTGTAAGTTACTCAGGGGATATCAAGGGGAAGAAAGATGCTAGTCTTAAGACACAGCAAAACCACACCAAGCCTGCAAAGAAAAGTGATTGGAGCTGAACACTATTAAAATTTAATAAACTTTTTGAGATTAAACTGAAATACCAAAATGAGTGCTTTTGTATACTTAGAGAGTGACCCGGCAGGTAGACTGAAGAATATGCAAGGCACGCATTTATTTGTGTATAAATTTATTAGCTACTTATTTGTCATAAAGTCATCCGTTTTTCTATCTGCTTAAGCTGGCTTTTTGCGAGTTTTACATCAAACACCTCCTCAGAAATTAGGCTCTTCAGGTCGTGAGCCATTTTAGCAACATCCTCGGGAAGCTTAATCGACGAGCCAAGGAGATACTCTAAGTGTTTTTGATGCTCATTTCTAAAATCGATGGCTTCGGCTGCTTTTCTGTCCTTTTCTCTTTGGTCTCCAGCTTCTTTTATCATTCTTAGAACCTCCTCCTCGGTCAGACCCGACGACGGTGTTATTTCAATTTCCTGTCTTTTTTTGCTAATGCTGTCCTCTGCGCTTACTTTTATAATCCCATTTGAGTCGGCCTCAAACGTAACATCTATTTTGGGCTTTCCACGAGATGCTTTTGGGATATTCTTCAACTTAATCGATCCCAGAAACATATTTCCAGAAACAAGGGGCCTCTCGCCCTGATAAATTCTAATGTCAACTTCTGTTTGATTGTCTTCTGACGTAGAAAAAGTCTCCGTTTGCTTAAACGGTATCGTCGTGTTTCTGTTTATGATTTTGCTGAATACCCCACCTAGCGTTTCAATTCCAAGACTGAGTGGCGTAACGTCCAATAGCAGCATGCCGTCCACTGATCCACATAGAATTCCTGCCTGTATTGCTGCACCTTGTGCCACAGCCTCGTCTGGATCCACGTCCGTGATGGGGTCGGTTCCAAAGATCTCTTTGACTAACTTTCGTATATATGGCATCTTTGTCATTCCTCCAACTAGAATAACATGCTTGATATCCTTTTTTTCAAGGCCAGCATCTCTCAATGCCCTTTTCGCATGGCTCTATGGTTCTTTGTGCTACTTTCTTAACAACGTTCTCCAGCTGCTCCCTGTTGATTTTCAGATCTAAGTCATGTCCTGGCACGATGTCTTCAATAAAAACCTGTGTTGATGGCTTTGATGAGAGCTCAATCTTTGCCCTTTCGGCCGCTCCTTTCAGCTTCTCAAGTGACACAGTTTCATATCTAGCCTCATGCCCTCTTGCTGCTCATGCATGTTAATTATAAATTTCATAAGTTCACCGTCAAAGTCTTCACCACCAAGAAACGTATCACCATTTGTAGACTTAACGTGAAAAACACCGTTGTCTATCTCCAAAATCGATATGTCAAATGTGCCGCCGCCAAGATCATACACAGCCACATTTCCTCCAGCGCTTTTATCCAGTCCATATGCCAGCGCTGCTGCTGTGGGCTCGTTTATGACCCGTATGACATCCAATCCAGCTATCCTACCCGCATTTTTTGTAGCCTGCCTTTGGATGTCATTAAAATATGCCGGCACTGTTATGACAGCCCGTCTGACCGAAGATCCAATATGATTTTTTGCAATCTTGCTCTCGGAATTGCTGGCAGAGGCAAATACTTTTGAACCAAGCGCATTCTCGGCAATTTTCTTCATTTTTGAAAGAATCTTTGCTCCTATCTGTGCTGGCGAGTATTTTCCAAAACTTGTCTTTATCCAAATATCTCCGTTACATGACTGCATAGTCCTATATGGCAATGCTTTGATATATTCTTGAATGTCAGGGTCTGTAAATTTTCTGCCAAGCAGTCTTTTACTGGCAAATATTGTGTTTTCGGGATCGGTATTTAGATACTTTTTTGCCTCTTCGCCAACTATTTCTTCCTTGCCAAGCCGCACAATCGACGGTGTAGTCGACTTTCCATACTCATTCCTCAAAACGATAGGTCTGTTGTTTTTCATTATAGCAACCACTGAATTTGTTGTCCCCAAGTCAATTCCCACGACATACGGGTCTTTTACTTGCTTTCTATATGTGTCTTCGGGCATTTGGGGTGTGGACTTTAACCGTAAAAATACAAAAATACTCACATCCAAGAAGCAGTTGATCCGTACGTAGTTTGAGCACGCCTAGTTCTTTGTTGCTAGCCATAAAATCTGCCCATGTGTGGTATTGCACAATCTCTTTGCTGTATATTGCCAAAATTTTCACTTTCCAATACATGAAAGGAAGCCCATGGGTATTAAAGGACTACTTCCAATTCTGAGGAAAATACTCAAGAAAACTCACATAGGTAAATACTCAAACAGGAGGGTGGGAATAGATGGGCATTCCTGGATACACCGCATCATTCCTTACATTGCTGCAGATCTTTACTGTAACAACCCCACACAGAAACATCTGGACCTCTTCATGGCTAAACTTAGTGGCCTGCTGGACTACGGAATCACTCCCATATTTGTGTTTGATGGCGATTTTTTAGAAAGCAAGAAAAAGACCATCCAGGAAAGAAAGCAGCTGAGAGAGAAGTACAGAGCAGAGGTGGACTTTTTCTTGCAGAGAAATGATGTGCCAAGGGCCAGGGAGCTCATGAAAAGATGTGTGAGTGTTACACCTGAGATATTACACTCAATACTAAGAGTCTTAAAAGCCAACAATATTGAGTTTATTGTAAGTCCGTACGAAGCAGATGCGCAATTATACTTCTTGCAACGGATAAAATACATCGATTACATTCTGACTGAGGATTCCGATCTGGTTGTCTATGGCGCAACTAGGATATTGTACAAATATGATGGCGTCCATGTGGAGGAATACGACTCGGCAAGGCTGCATTTGTGCAAGGACAAGTACTTCCAAGAGAACATCCTCGACATTTGCATTTTGAGTGGATGCGATTATCTCGACTCAATCAGAGGAATTGGCATTGTAACTGCATATGAGAAGTTAAAAGAGCTCGGAGATGTTGATAGCTTTGTTAACAGCATGATTTCCCTGAAAAAAAATGTTCCGAAGGAATATATCAGTGACTTTGTCAAGGCAAAAGCCACTTTTCTCCATCACATTGTCTATAACCCTTACACGATGCAAAGGCAGTTCTTAAGTGAGCCAAAGATCGCTTGCGAGTTTCTAGGATCTTTGGAAAACTCTTCGTTCACTTTCAACACCCATCTTGGAATTGAACAAAAATTGGACAGACACTTTATACCCAAGGCTATAGCGAAGAGAACTACAGAAGATAAAGAGAACTGCTCTTCAGAAATACCAGAAGACTACATTCTCGATTCAAATCTAGTTCTTCCGTATTTTTAATAAAAATTATCCATTCTTTGGTTTTAGACACATCCTAAAGTTCAATTCAAAACCGCATATCGAAGGCAAAATCCATCCTGCAGATTCTGGAGATGCTTGAGAAGGGTCATTTGAGCCCATCAAAAATCTCACTAATTTGGCATGAGACACGCCCAATGGTTGCTTTATGTATTTGTTTGATTTTAAAATTTTTATTTAATAGTACCCATGGATTCTCAGTTCTACAATTTTGATTTTGAAAATGGTCCTACTCCAGACACCTCAGAGACAATACAAATATCCTCCCTTGCTCTTTTGAAAATGATGAAGCATGGAAGAGCAGGCATCCCTCTCGAAGTAATGGGATTGATGCTTGGTGAGTTCGTAGACGACTATAATGTTAGGGTTGTCGATGTATTCGCTATGCCCCAATCTGGAACGGGAGTAACAGTGGAGGCAGTAGATCCAGTGTTCCAGACCAAAATGATGGACATTCTCAAAGTCACAGGACGACAGGAAACAGTTGTCGGATGGTACCACTCGCATCCAGGGTTTGGGTGCTGGCTCAGCTCAACGGATGTCTCAACCCAGTCTGAGTTTGAGAAGATATGCAAGAGGGCGGTTGCTGTTGTTATTGATCCTGTCCAGAGCGTCAAGGGGAAGGTCGTGATCGATGCTTTTAGGAACATCAACAACCTCGGCTTGAGTGAGCCAAGAATCAACACATCAAATATTGGCTTTTACAAGCAGCCGTCTTTCATCTCGATTGTGCACGGATTAAACAAGAGCTACTACTCGTTCAATATAACCTTCAAGAAGAATGATCTTGAGCAGAAGATGCTTTTGAATATGAACAGGAAAACCTGGGCGAGCAACTTGAAGATGAGGCCGTCCGCAGACTGGAACATTTCTGAGTTGATTTCAAAATATGCAAAAATGGTGAGAGAAGAGAAGGATCTGAAAGGAGAGGATCTCGAAATGAGAAAAGTAGGCAAAGTTGACTATAGGAAAAGAGTGGTTGAGAAATCGAACCAGATAATCAAAGACGAAACAATCAACAATTTGCTGTACAACATTCATTATTCTATATTCCAATAAATTGTCTTTATTGAAGGTCCTGTATTCATATACGCATGCGTATAAGCAGTAAGGAAACTAATCAAAAATGGTTAGATGCCGAGCAAGTAATAATTTAGTTTATATTTATTGCGGCCTGAGATCATCGTAGATTGTTTGTATGCTTCCGTACTTGTCTTTAAGCTTCGCCGATATGATCCTCAATCTGTTAAATATTGACGCGGGCTCTGAGCCTTGCACCAGTCTTCCAATAGCATCCTTTGCTATTTTTATATTTTCCTCACAACCCAGCAGCGATACCCGTTCATCCCTTAGTATGAACTTACATCTAGAGAAGTTCTCAATGCTCTCTTTAATCCTCCCGTCTCGTCCTATAATGCGCCCAATTGCACGTGATAAGTGAGAGCTCTTGAGCTTGCGGATATCCTGAATATGGAACGATTCAGTGAACACGTCCTTAAATTTCATAATTGCAACTGCATCTTCGGGCTTGAAGCCGTCCAAAACAGCCTGGATATACGTCATGCTCCGTTCCAAATAGCAGAGATCGGCGGTCGAAGGGCACGTTCTAATCTCAACGTGCTTGGTCTTGGGGTTAAATCTGATCTGTAGCTTGCCCAGTTGTACTATTGGTGTGTATATCTTCATCCATTCTTGCTTCAACACTCTAACTCGGCTCTCTGGAACTGGAATTGATCTGTAGTGGGCTTCTTGCTCTTTGCTTTCCATGGCTTAAAATTTTTAGAAAGATATAAATAACTAAAAGAGGAGTTTAATGTTTAGATTGCAGATAGTTGAGTAGGCTGGCCTAGCATAGCCAAGCAGACATGCTCCAGCAATACTGCTTTACCCATAAAACTTGATATTTTAAACCGCCATAGACATGTCCAATGCAGCACTGCTGGCCAGAGCAAGCTTTGTATTTAAATGGAGAATCAGAACAGTTTTTCATCATTATCAGCCAGGGATAACACAATTCATCATCTTCTCGGGGGTGCAGTTCTTGAAAATTTTTAAGGAAAGTTCAAGAAGAAAGCCAAAATACAATGGCCTTGGCGCAGGCATGAAGAGATTGGTGCTTTGGCTCTTCATCACCAAAATAAAGATAAGCACAGCATTGCGCACTCAACAAAATATAGTGTATATTAATGTTAGCTTTACCTTACAAAATTTAACACATAAGTTCCCATTAAACGTTTATTTAGGGGGTTCTATTTTTTTAAGTTTATTTTTCAAACAGTATTTTGCGCCAATAAGTACATGGTCAGATGGAAAATGAATGTTTGGAAGCCCAACACATTGCGCAGTGTACTCCTCTTCTATTGGCGACAATACTCCCGTGAGCACAAGCTCTTCGGAGTAGAAAATATAGTCTATAACTTCTTTGAATGTGGGTGTGAAGTTTGTGAATGTTATGTCCTGGCCACCATATGAGTCCAGCAGCTTCATACTATGGCTAAACCCTGCGTTAAAGGGTGTATAGTCGTACAGCCCAAACCCGCTTCCATCTATCTCCTGCTCTGCAACCAGCTTGTACACAGGAGAATCTCTAAGACTATTAAAATCTCCCATGAAAAGCATGGATGCATGCTTATACTTCTGGCGTATCTTTTCGACATCTTCTATAAGCAGTATTGCTTGGAGCAGTTTAACATCGGAATACTCTGGGTCCCAGTGAATGTGTGTATTTACAACGATAGTTTGAAATCCATCCTGGCTTTCCAAAACTGTAATCAAAGTTATGTTATCCTTCCGCATGTTTCTATTTATTACATCCTGATTGGTTGCAAACCGCGAATCGGTAATGATCTTTTGAAAAAAATCCACATTGATCTGCTCTATTAATTTAAATTTGTTCCTTTTCCAAAACGTGGCGCAGCCATCCACCATCCGCTTGTCTGCCAGTGTCAATGATCTGCTTCTAGGCAGAAATGTGCTGTCGTATTCCAGCTTCTGGTCCAGTTGGATTTTGTAGTATTCGTGATACAGGCATGTTTCGATCTCTTGGAGTGCTAGAATGTCCACATTGTACGACAGTATGCTGTTTAGGATGTTTTCCCTTCTAAGCTCAGGATTTATGACCCAGGAGGGCGCATATGTGCACTTCACTGCGTAAAAGTTGGATAAGATATTAAAGGTGCCGACCGCTATGCTGTCCAAGCACTGGTTGTCTTTACGAAATACCATGTCTATCCATGCCCTATCGGCTGGCGGTGGATATGAAGTGTTGTTTTCTCTGCAGAAATGGATTAGCGTCTTGTCTTTACAGAGCGAGTTGAACGGTGCGATCAGCGGATTATTTGTGATGTTTAGTATTTCGAGGTTAAACAGCGTCCCTAGTTCCATAGGAACACTCGAAATGGAATTGTCATTGAGGTACAGCTCTTTAAGAGAAACGGCCTTTCCGAGCTCTGGAGGAATACTCCGTATTTTGTTATGTGATAGATTTAGTTTTTCTAAGTTTCTCAGCTTGTATATTTCCCTTGGAATGTGCTCGATTTCATTGTTATTCAGCAATAGCTCCTTGATTGTGGTGTGCAGCAGAAACGGGGAGCTGAGTGATTTTAAGCCCTGAAATGAGAGATCTAACCCCACCACTCTTTCTGCAGCGCACTTCGGAGGACTAAACTTTGAGTTTTTGCGTTGTTTCTCTTCCATTGAAGGAATAAATTTTTGTTGGAAAAAAGATTGCAAACATTGGCTTGGCAAAGTGAAAGGAAAAATTTTTGAAAAATATTTAGGTATAAGAACACATGTAGCGTTTATAGCAGGCTTGCATCACTTTACAAGTACGGCTTTGGCATGTTTTGGGCACTGCTAGTGACACCATAAAACTACATGCATTAGCTCAACTGAATGTCTGATTTTAAAAGTAAAATTATGATTTATTTAAAATCCAGATCCAAATATCCTAACCTTGAAGTTCTGCCCAAAAGAGGTGCACAGGAGCCTCTCTAGTGCAGACAGCTCAGGCTTAGACCAGCACTGGTTCTTACTATCAAGATAGACAATTTGAGTCGTTTCTTCTCTACTTTCGATTTCATTTGTCCTGCCTGCAACAACTGCCGGGAAGACCAGGTCGCCAAGGATGTCCTCGCGGCTCTTGATTGGGTTAAAGATCTTTGATGATGGTATCTCGCCACCCTCCTCATCACAATCATGTATTTTGGAATCTCCTTCTTGAGTGCAGCCGTCAGTTCCTTTGAGTGTAGTTTGGCGTAGATAAGAAGTTCTAGGGGCATAGTAATGACCATTGCTTTTGGAAGATCCTCAGAGAAGGAAAAGGGCACAAGAGAAATGGCCAATAAAGCATTTTTCAACCCAGGCTCGTTTTCAAGTGGTGCGGAAAGAACTCTTGAAAATATCTTTGCGACTTTGTTCTCTAATTCAGTCTGGGTGCTCATTGGGGGAAGTGTGGCTTGAAAAATTTTAAAAAATTTTACAAGGCGAAGAAAAGAACCAGGAAAAGAGAGTATGTAGTCAGCCATAGCAGTGGCACAATGCAACTAGGATGGTACAGCGTCAACACGCCTTACAACCTACCAAAGCTTTGTATTTCAAAACATTTATTCACTTCGTACAATAAATCGGCAGAGTGTGTCGTAAAACTTGCCATAGTCGATCTTTTCCGTGTTCAGCAGCCCGGGCTGGCTGGGATTGACGTAGTGCAGCAGTATCCTCTCCTGGCTCTTTCCCTCGTTGGTTTCTTTGTACTGCGAAACTGGTATTCGATCAAGCAATGAAAGACTGTACTGCTTGGCCTCCTCGATGATTTCTTTAAAAAATGAAAACTCAGGTTTTTGGTCCAGGCCCTCCTTTACCCAATCAGCGACATACTTGCCCTTCCACAGAAGAACGTTATGGAAAGAATCCAGGACAAGAATACACTCGGGATTCAGGCTTGACGTGTCCAGCTCAACTGGCATGATATCTCCCTGGTAATGGAACGAAATCAGAGAGGGCTTTATCAGCTTAATAGCATCTTCGGTTATCAATTTAAATAGCAGAACTCTAAAATATGCACTCTCATCTTTTGAAATGCCATCTTTTTGGACCAAAAGGCTTCTTCTAAAGAAAAACATAAAATTAGGATAGTACGACATTGAATCAGGCAGAGACACACTCGACGGATTGTCCTTCAAATAGCTGCCATATTTCTTCATAAATCTAATCAAAGTCTTGTCAATAGCATTTTCAAAATCATAGACATTCTGGAAGTTTCTCATCAGAAAAGCTCTGGCCTGGAAGACACAGGCTGCCTCCTGGTCGAATCCTGCACAAATTCTAGACTTGTCGTTCGTAAACATTCTACTAAAGCTGGTGGCCCTTGTCACTATTTTTCTATCGCTTCTCTGATACTGGGTAATTACTTGAACGTACCCGAATTCCTCAGGTCTGGATGTTGTTGTATTCTCAAGCAGGATTGTGATGTTGGTTTTGGGATAGACACACCCGACCTTCCATCCAGCACCATACGACTTGCCTTCCCCGAGGATCCCCTTAACAGCCAGGTTGTGTGAGGTCTTTACCTGAATCTTAACGTTGAATCCCACTCTTAAAAATCCATCCTCTTCCCTCTCAAACATCTTGCTCAATGATTTCATTTTTATTTCCTCATCAAAGTCCTGCGCCATAATCAAGCATCCACCTGTCAGCGTGACAAGCGGCTTTATTTGCTCTATCCCAATATCCGCTATCGTCTCTGCTATGATATCAACACTGTGGCCAGAGGCATTCAGTTTATCTGCAAGATTTCTAAAGTAGGCTGCAGACTCCTCTAAGTCCAGCTTTTCATAGGTAGATCCTGATATTTCTAGCAATGCGATCTTTCCCGGCCCATAGGTGCAGGGGCCCTGCGTAAATATCATATACTTCACGCTGGCCTCACTGAAGTGGGCGCCATCTATCAGAGACATGGCCAGGGAAAATGCAGAGCCAGTGCATCTCAGTGGCCTATATCCATGCAACACTGAGAAGGGATCTGTCTCCAGATTATCGATGGCTTCAAGAATCTGCTCTACCTTGTCCTCCTTCTTTACTAAGAAATTTCGGACATCTCCAATATTGAATTTTCCTAGCATCTCCTTTGTATACATATTTCTACCTGAAAATTGGTAGACTGATTTCATATCCTCTTCTGCAAACGAAATCAGGGTGATGTTGGTGCCGAAAAACACCAAGCACACCATAGCATCGTCTGGAATGCTCTTAATCGTGTGGATAAGACCCCTCTTCATTAGTTCATGTCTTTCTTGGTCGTATGTGCAAATATCTATCAAAAGTATAAATACTGGAGAAAATGAAGTACTTTTACTCAAAATGTACTCAACAGTAGAGTTGCCTTCTATTAATTCTGGGAGCATGTTCTCTGGAGTGATATCTCTAGCATGGGGCGGCAACATATTTCTAGCATTGCAAAAGACACAAGCCCATGTTTTGGATCCAAAGTCTATTACCGACTGCTGGCACAGGATTGACTGGCACCCCTGGCAGGGAATAGGTTCACATGGAAGGGAAAGACAGGGCTGGTGAACGTTGTACAAACACGCTATGGGTATCAGATCAGTTTTTGTTGGCAAGACTGGCCAAATATTCCATGTGAGTCTTATTCCATCGATCTGCTCGATAGTTTTTATTGTTTTTTCCATGAAGGGTGGAAACTTTGTTTGAAAAAAGACTAAGAGAGGACAAATAAATTAGAGTACGAACTATTTAAATATATTCAAGACTACTTATTAAGTCTGCCGACACAAAGGAGACAGATGTAGCACGCCATAAATGTGCTACGGCAATATCTATGATTTCAACTATTAGCTTTAATATTATTTGTGTGTATTACTACAACAAGCTTTCATACAAGCATATGAATGCATATGTTTTCCGTGCTAAGCAATTCTGTTACACTCCTAATCTAAAACTGTTTCATACCTGAAGTTTTGATTTTGGAGGTAGAGAGACAGTCACTGAAGTATGGCTGATCCACAGAAAAAGAATAGGAAATTCAGAATCAAGTGGTGGTGGGACTCAGAGGATGAGCAGGCAGCCAAGAAAGATCCACAGTATGCAGAAGCATTAGAAAAGGCCGACGATATGATAAAAGAAAAAGATTTAGACAAGAGGGAAGTTGAGAAGAAGAAAGATGATATAGTTAAAGAGGCTATTAAAGAAACTAAAAAAGAAAACGAAGAGGACTCAAAGAAGACTGCGGCAAGTGCTCAAGACGGAAAAGCATCATCAAGTACCCAGGTAGAAAACAAAGACAAGAAGGATGGCAAAGGCTTGTTTCATAACTGGTTTGGAGATGATGAGGAAGGACAGCATGATAAAAGGGATAAGAAAGAGAACATGGCCCAGAGGGACACCAGCAACAAGTACAGTGCCAATGGTGAGGAAAATGTGAAAAGTAGACAGCCCGCTGATCAAAAGAAAATTGATAGAAAAGACGATGCCAAGGATACTTTAGCAAAGGAAAACCAGCAGGGCCATGGTAAGGACAAGGACGAATCACGATATAAGGGATGGTTTGGCAACAAACAGCCAACAAATGAAAAGACCGATCAGAAAGAACTCTCTCGTGAACAAAAATCGGCAGAACAGCCTAAAAAAACTGATCAAAATAAGAGCACTGCGGACAAAAATAAAGGTTTTTGGAATTGGGGTCGAAACCAAGATGAAAACGGAGAGTCGGAAAGAAATAAAGCTTCAAATAAACCTGAAAGAAATGGCCAAGGTGACGGCACAAAACAAGAAACTAAAAAAGTGAGTGAGCAGAAGTCTAGAGCCGTGCAGGATGTGAATGCAGGGAAAGACAAATCCGATAGACAAAAAATATCCGATGACAGACCAGGCAAAAGCAAACTAGATGGAAACAGAGATGCTGGTAAGAACAAGGAAGCTGGTAAGGAGAAGCCAGATAAAAACGAAAAGAAAAACGATGCAAATGAAAAGGATGGTGAGAGAGACAAGAGCGAAAGAACAAACACTCTTTTAGTCATCTGCGGATGTATCAACGTTGTTCTTGCCATTCTTTTCTTTTTATATACCGAGGTTTGGGCTGACGCCACTGTCACGCACAACATGCTTCTTGTTGGAGTGCTGTTACTTGTGATTTTGATACCATTTATACTTCTTCCTTTTTATAAAAATTTAATATGCCGAATTTTAGCAGTACTATCGGTCATTATTACCATTATTTTACTGGTGTATCTATTTATTAATAGAGCAAGAGTATTTTACTACCAGCTACTGGTTCGAGAGGCCGATCGTCCACAGTTTGAAAACATAGAACGGATGTACTGGTCCGAAAGAAATCCTGTGCTCTTCAATGTTCTGAAAGACGAGGGATACTACATAGAAGAATGGGCAGAAAGCTCAAAAAAGAAGGGTGCTAAGATATTTATTTTAAAGGGCAAGTTAACTGGAACAGACAAAGAGTGGCAGTATGACAGAGATCTGGCAGAGCAAACACTGAGAGATAACATCGAGAAAGGCACAGACGAAACTGGGCCCGCAGTGGCATATTCGTTGATCAGAGTCAGCTGGACCACAGACAGGGCCGAGGAAATACTAAAAGAAATCAAGAAGACCAAGTTTAGTAAGCTTGGAGAGAACTATGTGTTTGTAATTGGGGTTTTTGATGTTGGAACCAGGTTTGGAAGCATTCTCGGATCTGAGCCCGTGTCTATTGATGCAGCATCCGAAGATCAGCCAAGCGCTGGGGGTAAGCTATCCAGGGAGTTTAACAGCAAAGTATAGAGATGCAACGCCCAGAACGTAGTTTTGTATTGTGCTGTTCTGGATATGCTTTATTTGCTCATAAAACTATTTCCACCCATGCCCATGGGTATCATAGAAAAGCTTCAGAAAAAGCTAGAAGGTGGAAAGTTCAGACTTTTGAACGAGAAGCTGTACAAGAACAGGGGGCTGACAGAAAAAGAGGCACTGGACTACCACAAATACTATGAAAGCCAGGTGAAGAAGTGGCCATGCGATCCAAAGAAGACTATTATCAATAAGATAAAGAAATGCGGACAGGACAACTTGAAAATAGCGGATTTGGGATGCGGCTCATGCGGGATTGCAGAAAATTTCAAGAATGTTAGTTCCTTTGACAAGTATCCAATCAACGACAAGGTTGTAAAGTGCGAATTAAGGGAAATCCCAGTGGAGGATAAGCAGTTCGATGTGGCTGTCTGCTGTCTTAGTCTGATGATGACGAATATTGCAAGAGTTTTGAGGGAGACTAATCGCATTCTTAAGGTGGGTGGGGTGTTTTATATGTCTGAGGTTGCAAGCAGAGTGAAAAACATGAAAAAATTTATAAACAGCGTTGAAAAGCTTGGATTTAAGGTCCAGGATGTTGACAAGACCAGCACCTACTTTTTCATATTGAAATTTGAGAAGATCAGCGATGTCAGTACTGAGAATAAGTTACCAGTGGTGGCACTAAGCGCCTGGACATATAAAAAGAGATAAAGCGAGTATAACTCAATGCCCAATGTCTTGTTTTATCATTTCTTAACACACCACCGCTTAAGATGAATATTGATGTACTGGATAGCTTTACTATCCATGCGACTGTGATGTACATTGGTCGTTTATGGCAATGTGGAATTCGCCTAGTCCCACTGCTATTGCAGTGCTAGCTTGTAGTAGATAAAAATTTTCCATCCCATTGAAAATGCCACAAAACGAGTATGTGGAGGAGGCAATAAAAAAGTATGGCAGGCCACTGGACTATGAAGTAAAGAAGGCAAAGAGGGAGGCAAGAATGGAGAAGATAATCGCCAAGAAGGTAGTCATGCTCACTGGAATAAAAGCTAAGCTTTTCAAGAAGAAGATGCAAGCAGAAAAAGTACAGCTAAAGAAGAATATAAAGCTGAAGGATACAAAAAAAGCACATGCCAAGTCAGAAACTACAGCGGAGGCCCTTCCCGCATTCCTGCTCGATAGAGAAAATGATCATGCCAAGAAGCTTAGCTCGAAAATAAAACAGAAGAGGCAGGAGAAGGCAGCTAAGTACACTGTTCCAATAGCTAAAGTTGAGGGATTGAGTGAGGCCGAGGTGTTTGGTGTGGTGGCATCAGGAAAAAGAAAGAACAAGCACTGGAAGAGAATAGTAAACAGGCCCTGCTTCGTGGGGAATGATTTTACAAGAAAGGCACCCAAGTTTGAAAAATTTATTAGGCCCATGAGCATGAGATTTGCCACAGCGCATGTGTCTCATCCTGAACTTAAGACAACATTTAGACTGTCTATTTTATCAGTGAAGAGGAACCCGCATTCTGAAGTGTTTACTGGCCTGGGCGTGCTTAGCAAAGGCACGATTATTGAAGTCAATGTCAGCGAGCTTGGAATTGTTGATGGCAGTGGGCAAGTTGTATGGGGAAAGTATGCGCAAGTAACGAACAATCCTGAAAATGATGGATGTGTAAATGCAATACTATTGGTCTAGACAGAACATTAACATACTTAAATAAATATCTAATATTATAGCTTGTCTAGTTTAACCACAAACCGGCTGTTCAAAACTTTTTGAGGTGCCAAGCATATCATATTTGATCAAAGTCCGTACTTAATCAGCTTTTTGAAACCATAATCTAGGCTAAGAAACATGTGCAGGTCTTGCTTCACGAAACATCAGGCCCTGTTCTGTTGTGTGCATGCTCAGCTATTCCTCTTGTGTTTTTATTGCACCATTTGAGACCTATCTACACTGTTGCTGATCAGATTAATTGTGATCATTTTCAACAAAGTTTAATCAAAAACAGATCAATAAAAATTTGCACACACCGTCATGAAACTTGATCAGAACATAAGCATACTCAAAATTGCTAGAGACTTGCTCGTGCTCATGGGTGTTGCACGGCTCACCAATGACCTGTCTGAGCCAGGCACAAATCCACCAATGCGTGATGCCCAGACAACGACGGAGACTGGACTATTCGACTCCAGCGACGAGGAACCTGAACAGACCAACGACTTCCCCCAACTCCCGAGCACTGTGGTATCAGAAATTGCAGGTATACCTCTTTTCAGTGGAACACCATACACCGATGTGTTTAGCAAGATCAACGGACTCGAAAGCACACGTGAGTTCTCTGACGACATCAGTGCGCTGACATCAGTTCTTTTGCGGATTGACGACCAGCAGTTCTTTGATTTTTGCATGCAGCAAACATACTTTCCAGGTTCAACTTCCGAGCTGAAAGATCTTTTTGAAAAACTGGGTATTTACAATAATTACACTTTCATCCGTGATCTAGCTAAGTTAGTTGAAGTACACGAATCCAGGGAAAGGCATAGACAATACTTTGAAAAGATAAGAGATTCTTGCCAGTCTTCGCCCTCAGATAGTCTGGGGCTCCCTAGATCCAACAATATTACTGTTGAGAGTTATGTAAAATATTACAGTATGCGTGTTATTACAATTAATGATCTCACTTCTCAGGAAATATTGTTTCCTCAAAATCTATCTATTAGCTGGTGGGGTTTTTGGAAAGATGCAGGCTGGCATTTGTTTGGATTCAGTTCGGAATTACCATCACGATTCTTTAGGTTCATCCACTTGCTTTGCAACTTTTCAATTAAATCGAGCATTCAAAACAAAGAAAGCAAAATTAACAATCTAAAGATTATTTTTGCTGGCTTGCGCAATGCTGATATGCGTGGAGCATTGCTTCGACGTGTCAAGTACATTCAAAAGCTGCGATGTCTCAGAATATTTGGGCTAACGGGCATAATTCCCCTGCACTTTCCAAATCCAGAAAAGATTCTGGATATTAGCATTCAAAGCTATGATTCAATTGATCTTAGAGGCGACAACTCGAATTGGCTACTGAAGCATCAAAGCTTAGAAATACTTACTTTAAATTTTGGAAATTCATTACTGATAGCTGAAGAGTTTACACCACTAAAACAGCTCGAACATTTAAAACAATTGATTATTGTTTGCGATAAGGGCAAAGGCAATTTCAATACTGCCGGTTGCATAATCGTATCTAACCCAGAAGCACAGCCTCTAGCAGATGGTGATCAGATGAGATCGTTGACTTTGAAAGAGCTAAAGTGTCTAAAATACTTATCTCTGACAACTTGTTCGTTAGATTTATTAAACGTACAAGAAGTACCTAGTTTAAGCAGCATTGATATGACAAAATGCAAGATAACATCTTTAGCTTTACAAAAAATGCCTGGGAGCTGTGAGTTAAGGCTGAACGAATCTGAATTTTATTCAATAGCCATACATAATGTTACTGGGCCAATGTCTTTAGTAGTGTCAAATTCATCATTTGACCTGCTAAGTTTGCGCAGTATAGATAATATGAAATGTCTGATTTTAAAGAAATGCACATTTAAGTCTATAAACATGCAAAAAGATCAACATATTGACAAGTTTTATATTTCTAATTGTGACCTTTCTAAAGACAGTTCAGGATGGAAGGTCTTAGTAGCCCTAAGGTCTTTGAAAGCCTTGGTTGTTTATGATTGTAAGGGTGTTTTGGCGCTTCCATATGAAATTAGCGAGATGGGTAATTTGAAAGCGTTGATACTCGATTTACGAAACTGTGAATCAATTAGTGTTGAAAAATTCAGTCCAGGATCTGAGGAGCATGGAGACGACATTTCACTAAATGAATCATTTAGGTTTCCTAAAACTTTGAACAGCTGCGAACTTTTCATAAAAGACGACCACATTCAGTCTATTCCAGCCAAATGGTTTGAAAACTGCGATCTGTCACATCTAAGACTGGTTATAAACGAAGTGGAGTACGAAGTAGCTGAGGATTGTCAAACTATACGTAGGAAATAAAGTCTAACTGAAATTTTAATTTTTGCACTGTTCTTACCCTGTAAATAGAAATTGGCATTTTATCGCTCTTAGATCTATTAAAACTGATGTATCATGGTTATTGATCCAAGCAGTTAATCCGTCAATAATGAATTGTTGAGGGCAATACTGCGCTATTGAACTTCAAATATATAATGCTCTTGAATTGAGGGATGAATATGCTCGTATTCTCAAATATCAACAAATTAAGCTATAGCAAAAATATTAGCTGCCAAAGGAAGTTGGTGGCATTGTGACAAATACAAAGTTTTTAACGAAGAAAAGACTTGTGTCTGCTCTCCTGGTAAATGCTAAACTTATTAGATTTATTTGGCTCAAATGCTGTTGCCCTGCATTCTTCTAAATAAATAAATACTCCGTTATACAAGCCTGCCCTTTTATGATATGACAAAAATTCACGAGTAGATCAGTGTTAAATATCACAAGAAAATGTGAAGGAACACACGTATCTTTGCTATTGTTAACGGATATTCTATACATTCACCATCTGTTTTTAACACAAAATGTATTATGGCGTATTTTCTACTACAAAGACATTTCTTATGTCAGAAGATTACTTTATGTTCTTATAGGCTCCATTGAAATACCACTAAACTTATGTTTTTTCAAATAAAACTACTATGGTAGCGGTTTCTTTGACCTTTGTGTCTAAGTAATTTGTTTTAAGTTTGGTCTCCTTTCTTGCTGGTATTCTTTTAGATATGTGACAGATGTTTAAAATTGCTATTTTTGACTATTTCATCTTTTGATTGATCTTCAAGTTATCAGATGCTTG